TTCATGAGCATCATAAAAGGCAAGAATGTGTTAAAAAGTTGGGGCAGGAGAGTAAGACAAGTATAGGGAGAATCTAGAGCAGGAGAGGCACAAACAGAGGCTGGGAGGAGAAGAGGCGTGGATGGAAGACATGGAGAAGACACTAACCTGATATTTACAGGTCCAGCCCGTTGGGCCCTCCAAAGAGTCTCATTCATTTCATTGAGTCTTTCCAAACCCTGGGGGAGGATATTATTCCCATTTTAGAGATGAAATAGGAAAACTGAAGCTCCCAAAAGCAAATGGCTCATAGTGTAGTAGCAGAATTTGGGTGTCAATCTAAGTTAATCAGTATCTCTCCTAGAAGGTTCCGATTGTTCCCTTTCCACTTTAAAAATAATTTCTAGTTATAGAGGTAACACTGGAATACATTCTCCACGCTAAAAAGATAAATAAAACTTTGTCTTCTCACTCCCTTGATTCCAATCAATTTTTAAAGGGAAGATCCCAGAAGTCACCCTTAGTAAATTCTGACCTGTTTTGGGGGCTCTCTTGAAGCCTGCTGGTTGAGCATGCACACTGAGATCCCTTAAGTCTGACCCCAGATTAGTCTAGTGAGCTTTTTTCATTGATAATTTAGCAGAGATCTGGCAAGCCCTGGCAGATTTTGAATTCTGCAATAAAGAGGTGTCTGTCTTGTCAGGGTTTGCAGAAATTTCAGACAATAGCTCTTAGTTCTGCTGGGACCAAGGTTTAAACTCTATGGTAGAAGGTACGTGTGATTCTCAAACAGGATGTATTTTTAAAGGAAACTGATGTTTTGGAGTGTAAGGGGGCTTATTAAGAAAAGGCAAGTGCTTCAGGCAAGGAGAAGAAAGACAGACGGGGAGAGGCATCAGGGTCCGATCCGCGGGGAAGTGGAAGAGAGGGGATGATGAAGAGTGGGGGTGCCAGAGGGTGGGGGATTAATGAGGGAGGCTGTTTTAGCCCAGATAATTTTATACTTTGCCATCAAGTTCCTTGTTTAGCCTTGACAAAAAAATTTTTTAAAGAACTGGGATTCTGTTTAGAATCATCAGGGTACCAATCAAAAAATGCTGCTCCTTGGGCCTGAGGAATTTTATTCCAGCTTTGTTCTAAGGCACCCCTCCAATGAGCAGTTCCAGTTAAATTAAGTGTCCCCAAAAGCATCCACTGAAGGCCCAAATCATCCCTGGCGAAGTTCTGCCGTGTAGAGAAGTACAGGGGTATAGCAGTTTTGGGGGCACCTGTCAGAAGCCATTTTTCCAAGAGGGGGTCACAGGTTAGATTGAGAAGACTCCTGGTTACTGTCAGCCAAAAGCTACAGTCATCTAACCGTGTGTCTGGGCCCTGATCTAGTGGTCAGTCACCTCTAAACACAGACCCAACAACCTGAACCCCGACAGGTGGAATACATGAGAGAGAGAATGCGCTCTCTCTGAATCAAAGCCAAGCTCTCAGGACAAACAGCTAGGAGGACAATTTCCTTTGGTTCTATTGGTGACCCATAGCAGAGTCTGTCCTCAGAGGGTGCTGGTCTGGAGAGAACCACCAACTCTCGGTCTGTGAGCCCGCCTCAAACAGCCAGCTGATAGGAAAGATACTGGCTCCACTCTAGGATCCTCCTCTTCACGACAAAATAACACTAAAGGACACAGCACAGAACAAAGGGACAGAGGGAAGCACATCACCAAGGACGCGGCCCCAAAGGGGAACATTAACCAAACACAAATACCAGGATTTGACAAGTGAATAAACAGCCGAGGAATTCTACGCAAAGACAGCAGAGTTGAGGTCCAGTGGAGACTTGTCCATGTGGATGGTGTTCCATGGGCCGTGAGGCTCAAGCAGCCCGGGGGGCAGTGTACCTGGGCAAGGGCCAAGGTCCACAGTGGCAAGCAGGTCAGGCTGGATCTGAGTCACAGCACCAAGATGACAGTCAAAACTCAAACAAAACCGGAGACAAAATTAGCCTGGGCTGTTTATTTATAAACTTGCAGCCGCAAGGGAACCATCTGCAGTCACTTTCATTCCAGCAGGGGCTCAAAGGCGTCTGAGAGGAGAGTGAGGTTTACAGAGAGAAAAGGAGGCAAGATGAGACAGTCTCTGATTGGCAAGCATCCTATTAGGGGGGATTGTTGGAAATGGGGAGACTCTGACTGACCTTCAAGTACACTTGCAGTCCTTGGTTGGTTCACTACCCATAATTTACAAGACTGGGAAATTCTCAGGTTTTCCTGCTTTTTTAGGAGGACTATTTTCAGAGGTTTCTGAAGTCTAGGGGCCGTAGGAGGCTATCTGGGCCAGGCAGAGGCCAAGCGGGACACCCTTCTTTTGTGCAGCAGTGTGTTCTTTGTAGTCCCACGAGTGCCGTTCTTGGGACACAGTTTTCTTCTGTGTGCAAAGCCACTATGTTCGGGCCTGTGCAGGGGGTTGCACAGATGAATGAAGCATTGGCCACACCCTCAACAGCGAAAGAGACAGCTCCAACGGGCCAATTTTGTGATACTCGATGCGATGAAGTAAGTGAAGTGATGGAACTGCAGAGAGGGCAGGAGTAGTCAGTCCTCTGAGAGGTGGGACTTGATTTGTTCTCCAGGGCCTCTGGAGGAGCGACTGGAGAGTCTGGGTATTTCCTTCCATGTCGCCAGTGTTGAGCAGCTGCTGATGCCAGGCCCTGTGCTAAGTGCTGGAGACACATCTGCGAACCATTTGGTCCTTGCCTTCCTGGAGCTCTCATCAGACAGACAGGGCAGACTTTGAAGAAGCAGTTCCAAGTGTGCTGAGCAGTGGAGGAGAAGCACAGAAGGCCAGGGAGCATGAGACAGGGCCTTATCCTGACTGGGCCAGAGGAAGCATTTTAGGAAAAGATATTTAAAGGAGCCCAGAAGGAGAGTTAGTGAGGCCAAGGGGTGGGAAGGGGATTGGCGCAGCCTGAGAATTCCAGGCAGAGGGAACAGCACGTGCTAAGGCTCCCAGGTAGCAAAAAGGATGACATGTTCAAGGAAATGAAAAGAGCCCAATAAGCCTGGGGTCAGAGAAGAACGGGAGAGTGGGCTTGAGGCTGGAGGGGAGGAGGACATGCAAGGCCTTATAAACCATACTAAGATGGCTGGACTGTGTCCAAAGAGCAGTGGGAAGCTGTGAAAGCATTTTATACGAGGGTATGACATCACGCTTGCACCTGAAAGATCGTTCACGCTGCTGTGGGAAAAGAAATTAGATTGGAACAAGCAGTAGTAGACATGGGGCCAGCTATCGCAGCCATTCCGGGAGCACAGATGGCTGCCTGGGCCCTGGTTGGGGCAGTGAAGATAGAGAATGGTCAGCGGTTTCATGAGGTGATTTAGGGTTTCGTGAGGGTTTCATGAGGGTGATTTAGGATTGATAGGACTCAGCAACTGATGGTCTGTTGGGGCTGAGCAGAGGGATTCTTCAGGAATGGGTCCTGGGTCTGTCTATACCACTGTTTCCACTTCCCATGGGGATGCCAATGAGTGGGGGAAGAGCATATGTTCAGCTCTTAACTCCTTCAGTTTGAGATGCCTGTGAAACATCAAAGTGGAAATGTTGAGTCAATGAATGAGTTTACGGGGTTTGAAGGTTAGAAGAGAGGGCTGGCTCGAATTGAAATGTAGGAATCATTGACACATAGATTTTAAATGAAGCCATACGTAGAGGGGCTGCGAGATTACCTTGAGAGACAAGCCAGAGAGAGAGAGGAGGGTCCAGGCCAGAGTCCTGAGGAGGTACTGCAGCAGAGAAGGAGCTGGCAAAGGAGGCTGAGAAGGAAGAGCTGGAGACAAGAAAACAGGAAACGGAAGCATGGAGGCCAAGGGCAGAGTTTTCTGAGACTAGGGATGAGGTCAGCTGTCAAATGCTGCTGCGATGTCAAGTAAGATTGAATAATTGTTGACCTTAGAGCATTTCTGGAAGAGCATTGGGAGCAGAAGCCACATTGAAGGGTGGGGATGAGTAAGTGGAAGGTGTTTTAAAAGGTCACCCTGGGTGGGGGAAGGGGTTGAGGTGACCAGCCTGCGGGGACTGGTATAGGAATCTGGGAAGAAATATCAGAACTCGAGAGTTTGGAGTCTCACACTGGCTAAGAAAGCATGGATCTCAATGCCAACAGGGAGGAACAATTGGAAACTTGGCTCCAGGTGGCTCCCAGAAGCAAAGAAGAAAGTGTGTGGGAAGGAGAAGGGGCCATCGGAGTCCCGCAGCGACCACACTGAGCTTCCAGCCGTGCTCATGGGCCTGGGATTAAGACCCACATCCCTGCAGGTTCCTGGCCACATAGGCCCCTGGGAGGCCTCCAAGGGTCAATTAAGGAACAAACCCAAATGAACAAAAGTAAGGAAGCATTGTGTGGGGGTTAAGAGAACTGGCCTTTGAAGCAGAAAAACCTGTATTAAAATTTTGGCATCACCACCTGCTCTCTGTGTCATCCAGAGCAAGTTTCTAAACATATCTGCGGGTTAGAAGACAAAGTCTGTTTTCAGAAACGTTATAGTATGAAAATGTGCGTGGATTAGAACGGAGAAAATATGAGATTGAAAAGCCCTTTTCCTTAGATTTTCTCTTCTGGATGCTAACCCTCCAGTTATGAATAAGGCCCTTCCTGAATCTGTGAAGGAAGAAAAGAACAACAGGCTGGCCTGCCTCAGCCAGCAGTGCCACTCCCTCGGGATGGAGTGACTGGGAAACAGAACCTCAGGTGACAAGGTTCCTCAGCGCTGTGCCTGATCCAGTCTGGCTGTCCTGTTGGCTGGAGCTTAGCGCAGATCTGTCCGCCCGGCCCCACCTGTCTAGGCAGGTCTATCTGCCTCAGGGCCCTGGGACGGAGGCCAGCCTTCACCCTCTCCCTACCCACTCGCACAGCTCTCTCCCCAGGTAGTGCCATCAAAGGTCAACAGTGGGCCTGGAGCTGGCACAGCAAACACATTTGTGCATCATCGTCATTACTAAACCTATTAACGCCACGTGTCTGGTGGGTACTGACAGCCCAGCCATAGAGCAAGCTGATGACACCATACCACAGCAATCCCCTGCCTCACAGCGGAAGGCCCAGAGGCCCCATTCCAGAGCGGCAGTGTGGATGGAGGATGTCCCCAGCTGGTAAGCTGTCCTGGCCAGTGGTAGAGAGATACTCTTTCTTTCCTGGATTCCTAGGCCAGGAGAAGCTTTCTGGGCAGGTGCTCTGCTCTGAATGCAGGCCAAGGAGGCATGTGGGGTCTGCGGGCGATGGCTGGGGCTGTGGGAACTGGGAGACTCCCAGCGTGGTCTGAAGCACGTGAGATTCCCAGGAAAGGCTGGGAGACTTTGGTTATTCCCTTTGGATTTGAAGAACAGGTCACAGCTCTCACAGACGGGATGCAAAGGGACTTGAGTAAGGGAAAGATGAGCCACACAGTAGAAGTTTCTGCAGGATTCCCTTGATGGGCAGGGTACTCTCTCCCCAATTCTCTCCCCAGAGCACTCCACTGGCCCTGCCACATGGGCTTTCAGCTCTTGAACGTCCAGAGAAGAATTTCTCCTCTGTGCCAGTGCTTGCTGGCCATGCCAGCATGTTTCCATGGGAACCCTCTTCCCAAAATGGACAGGTGTGCCCTGGCTTTATGTTGATATTGGTATGTGCCAGGACAGGGCCTGTGCCGAGTCTCTATGGCTTGAATTTGTCCACTCCTGGGCTGTGGTAGAGAAGGCACATGCTCGGGGCTCTACCCTTAGTAGTTGAGCAACCTTGGGCAAGTTATTAATCCTCTCTGAGTTTTCAGTTTCTTATCTGTAAAACTGGATTAAAAATACCACTGCAGCAGGTGATCAAGGTGATTCAGCCTTACATGATGAGTGCAAAAGAGCGCTGATCATGAATCAGGGAATCCAAAACCTAGCTCAGGCCTTTAGTTGCAGACTAGCCCTGCCTCTTGTTTTGCTTTAATTTCCTCTTGTACAGTGGGGGTGGAGGAGAACTGACTAGGTGGCTGTTAAGGTGCTCTCTGCCCGGTTCTGACCCAGTCGCTGTTGCTTTCCTACCTCTGGGTGGGATTCTCCCTAGGAGGGGAGGGGAGGTCATAGCCTGGCATTCACCCAGCTGGGATGTCGCAGAGCATTCCTGTTTGGTTCTCTTGTCCTCCTGAGGTGGTACCAAGGACAATGCCTCTGGTGCTCCCACCAGGAGAAGCTACATTTCCTCTGCAGGTGAACGAGTGCCCCAGGCTGGGGCTGTGTTGTGGTTAGGCTGGGTGGTCCCCTCAGACTCAGCACCCAGAGGGGAATGGTCAAATTGCCAGACTTTCCTGCCAAACTGGATGCATGAGCCAGAGGCTGCCCTCCACCAACGCAGAATCCAGAACCTTCCCCGACTTCCCTCTGGAAGGGCATTTAAGGCCATATCACCAGGCCCATCTCTCAGTCACGCCGGGGAGAAACTAAAGGATATGGAGGCAGAAGACTTGGACAAGAAGCTCCTTTTACAACTCATTAGTGGAGGGACCTTAGTGGAGACCTTTCACCCCTGAGGAATATAGCTAGTATAAATGAGGGAACATCTATGAGTTTGATTAGCGAGATGCCTGGCACCTAGTCGGTGCTCAATGAATGCTATTGAAGTCTTCACTTGGTTGTCAGAGCACTAAGGGCTACAGATGGGCCAAGACATTGATCCCCTGGCCCTTCAGGACTGCCAGGAGGTACCTGGGGCTATCCAAGACCCCCAGCTGATCACCTCAAACCACAAATTGCCTCATCTGGTCACCCTGTGTGAATATCACCATCTTCCATGTGCTAGGAGGCATAGAGGTTGGGAAGCACTGGAGGGTCTGGGGAGCTCAGGGTCTGGAGATGGTGGGAAGGAGAGAAAAGAGAGGGACCAACAGGCAGAGTAGCTGTGTGACTTGAAGGATGTCAGGGCTCGTGCTGTGGGGGGGGGTCTCACGCTCCCTCTGTAAATGGCGGTGAGCAAGTCACAGTGCCCTTCTCTGCAGTAATGGCTGATGCAGGAGGGCGAGTATCCTGTGGGCTTGAAGCAGGCAGCTCATCTCACTCCTTCCCCAACTGCCAAGGGTCTGTTCTTCACACTGCACATCAGAGAATGGACTTCACGCTGTCAATCTCACAGATCAGGAAACCAAGACACGACGAAGGGAAATGACTGCAGGTGACGAGGGGAATCATGGTCGATCTGGAAATTTAGCTTACACATCCTGGTGCTCAATGACTGGGGCTGTCCAGGCGCTAGAATCCAACCCTTTCCTCATCTACTCCCTGACCTCTGAGAGATAAGTCCCAGTGTCCTATTCAGTGTTTTCCCATGGGTTTTCTTTCTGGAGAGGCTGCCACGTCAGTCTGACTTTGTCAACTGTCAATAGCCTGTTCTGGCATCAGACCTTGTCCTGGGGACCTTCCGCTTGTCAGTGACAGCAGAGATGGAGCCCTCTTTGTCCCTCAGCACTGGCAGCACATCAGAATCCATCAGTGAACTTTAAAAAGGACTGATGCCCAAGTCCCACCCTAGACGAGTTAAATCAGAATCATTAAGGGAGGGGCCGGCCCGGTGGCACAACGGTTAAGTGTGCATGTTCTACTTCTCGGCGGCCCAGGGTTTGTCAGTTCGGATCCTGGGTGCGGACATGGCTCCACTTGGCACACCATGCTGTGGCAGGCATCCCACATATAAAGTAGAGGAAGATGGGCATGCATGTTAGCTCAGGGCCAGGCTTCCTCAAAAAAAAAAAGAAAAGAATCGCTAAGGGTAAAGCCTAGGCACAGGTATTTTTCTCAAAAGCTCCCCAGGTGGTTCCAATGTGCAGCCAGGATTGAAAGTCACTACATGGGAGAATAACAGTGTGACCTTGGGAAAGAGCCATGAGCTGAAAACCTCACTGTGGCTTCTCTATTCTTTCTTCCCAACATGCTTCATGACATTGGGCAACATACCTCTCTCTTTTTCCTCAGTTTTCTGTCCTAAAATATGATTTGTATTCCTTTCATAGTTTCTGTTCTGTTCTGTTGAGCTGATCTTTTTACAGTAGTCTTGGTCTCTTTCCTTTTATTCTTTCATTTATTTATTTATTCATCCAACTTTTAACGAATGCCTGCTATGACAGGAATGTGCTATCTGCTGGGAGATGGCAAAGAACAGGAAGGCCAGGTCTCACGAGTGTGTGTTCTGCTGGGATTGACCCTATTGTTCTTTCTCTTTTTATTAATAAGTCTATAGTATTTGAAAATTATATTTTTTCTGGATACAAATTGCTGGTCCCTTTTTCATTTTGTCTCTCAGTTTTTCACTCCTTAACTAAATTCTTCTTGTCTTTAGTGTTTTGATCATAAGCAGAGCATCTGCCCATGGGAAATCAAATTAGCCCAGTTACTTGCACTGGACAATGTTTTGAATGTGTGTGTGTACACAGGTCTTTTGTTTTGAATACATGAGAACACTGGCGTCTGGATAACATTTGGGTTTAGAGATTCCTACTCCATGCCTCCTTTTCCTTCTGTGACTGGGAAGGGTCTTGGAGAATACAGGCTTGGTTAAACCAGTTATCTCTTTGCCCCTGGAGAACACTCAACCAACGAATGAAGATTTGATAAGGGCCCAGTATGCGCAGGACACTGAGCTGGGCGCTCCAGTAGGGAAGGGTTTTGGGGGTGCCAAGATGGCAGAAGAGAAAAGCCTAGCCTCTCCTTCAGGAAGCCCATGAGGAGCACAGGACTATTTCCATGCGGCAGTGAGCCATACAAGGCCATCGTGGTGAGGGCCAGGAGATATTTCAGAAAAGCTGAAACTTGGGGCAGACAATTCTCAGGGCATTACTGGTATCACTGCAAATTATTCTGAGATAGACAGTACTCTGGTTCCACTCCTCTCACAGTTCTGGCAGGGGCTCTTCCTCTGCCAGTTGGGTGTCTTCAGTAAAATTGTCCCCAATGGGTACTTGTCCTAGATGACAGGCTACCGACAACACATACTTCTATCATATTAGCAGAACCCACCCAAGAGCCAAGGACTAGGTTTTCCCTGTTGAAAGAGGAGGACAAGTTGACTCACTCTCTGTTCAGAACCATTAGAAAGTTTAACTTATACTTATTTTTCTTCGCAAAGCCCAAAATCAATCACAGGCATTGCTTTTAGCTCCTAGCACCAGGGAATTTGGTCTAGCTGCATCTGTAACCAGAGGGAAAAACAAACCTCTGTTATCTTTTCCTCAAAGTCTATAGATTTCTTTGTGGACCTGATTTACTACTCTCTGGGGTAGTGGTTTTCAATTTTTTTTAACTGTGACCCATATTAAGAAATACATATCACATCACCACATGTAGCTGAAACAAGTTTCCCAAACATTACTTACGCTCATGCTATGCAATATCCTGAGATATTTTATATTCTATTTAATATTTTTAAATGGGCTGATCATCCACCAAATTAAATTCATGGTGTAATGATGGGTCGTAACCCCCAGCTGGGAAAATACTCTTCCAAGGCCAGTGCTGCTTTAATCCTCATAGGCCCTGTGGTTGAGGCTTAGTCTAGCACCCCCTTGTGGATTCTCGGACAATAGCAAGAACTCAGCTTTTGCAGTCACCAAAATGCCTCCTGAGTAAGGCATGGACTGCATCCCTATAAGATTTTAGTTCATGGGCCTGTACCTTTCCCAAAAGGCACCTCTACTGATTGTTGCTAAAATTAAAATGGAGCATCTTCCCTCCTCTAGGACATTTCCTCTTAGGACATTTTAGAAGCAAAAATCAGAGAACAAAATTTAAGAACAAACGATGGACCTCATCTCTCACTTTTGATGGTTACCTTTTCTGTTATTTTCACAGCTGCTAATAGGTTACGTAGATAATAGGTGCCAATAGTGCTAACACATGTAAAGAGCACACCACAGAGCCTGGTATGAGTGGCCCCGCCTGGTTCCCACAGCTGTGGCCCTTCCAAACTTCCAATCCCACGTTCCTCCCAGCAGATCAGTCCTTGGACACAGGCAATCTGTTGGGCACCTGCCCTCCTGGAAGGCCATATGAAGGGGGCTGTGTGGTCCTGGTCTTTTGGTGCCTTTGTCTAGAACACACGCTACCCATCTTTGACCCATCTATCTCGAGAACTCTTCTGCCTAAATGTTAATATTTATCGTTTACAGCCAGCCACTTCCCCGTTTCAAAGGTGAACACAGTAAAATTTATGACAAGTGCACAATCAGACAATAGAGGAGCATAAAAGCAGGAGGGAGAGTGACAGCCCATCCATCTGCAGAAACGGTTCATGCAAGGCCCGAGACACCTGGAGGATTCTGGCATGGGGCTACGACCACACATTTTCCTCCTGGGGCTGCTCCTGCTTCTGGGCCAAGGTAAGTCTGCCATTTGCTCAGAGGACAACCGATGGGTCAGCCCTGCTGGTGTCCCACATTGCTTAGGCACGGAGCTCGGGAGAGGAACGTGTCCTTTCCATGAGCACAAGTTGCACAGTTCAGACCCAAACAGGCTGGAATGCTGAGGTTTAAGTGCCCAAGGCTGTGGGGCGAGAGGCAGCTCTCAAGAAGGGCAACAGCTCCACGGTGGGGGAAACAGCGTGGGTGCCGGGAGTCACTAAGACCTGGATTCTAGTTCTTTGTGCTGTGTGGCCTTGGGCATGGTCTACCTCCCTGAACCTTGTTTTTTCTCATCCTTGAAATGGATATACTAATGATAAGCACATTTTGATCATTACTATTTATGGGCTTCGTTTTGTTTTTGCTAAAAGAACAGAGGAAGGCAGAATTCAGGATGATAAATTCTAAAGGATTGCCCACACTCGTTAGTGCTGTTGACTCTGATTGAAACGAGGGAGCTCCCAGCCAGGGTTTTGGATTCTCCTGGTGCTAATGATTAGAAGATTGTGTCTGGGCCACAATCTCTCTCTGCCTCTCTTCTCTCGACCCCTGGCTCTTCCTTCCTCCTTTTGCTTAGAAAGGCAGAATCTTTTAAAGAGAAAAGGGCCTTAAAGATAATCTTTCACCCTCTCCAAATGAGAGGCCTGGGCCCAGAGTGGGAAGCATTTCCCCTGGAGGCCCCAGAGGGAAAGAAGTAGGTGCGGGGCAGAGGCCTGGGCCTGGCTGGGGTCCAAGCCCTGCTGCTTACCTTGGACAAGTCACTTGCCCTCTCTGAGCCTGAGGGGGAGGGTGCAAGGTGGGAGTGGTGCCAGATGGGGAGTTGCCAGTAGGGGAGAATGATAATGCTGCTATGCTGACTGCACAGGGTGATTGCATTTTCCTAATTACTAATGAGGGGCTTTTTTTCTTTACGTTTAGTGACCATTTGAATTCCTCTTCTGTGAAGTGCCTGTTCAAGTGTGTCTCCCATTTTTGTAGGGGTTTGTTCTTTTTCCCATTGATTTTTAGGAGTTTTTCATACATGCTGTGCACTTGCTCTTTTTCGGTAAAATGTACAGCAAATATCTTCTACTCTGAAGCTTGTCTTTCCATTCTCTTTATGGAGACTTTAGATGAGCACAGTTCTTAATTTGGGGGAAATAAATGAAGACCACCCAGATGAGAACAAATGGAGGCTATTTATTCAGAGGTTGCTATACCAAGGGAGTCAGCCACGGTCACCTGCATTTGACAGAGACTCCAAGGCAGGCAGGGGAGTGGGAAAGCCAGATAGTGAAAAAGCGGGGGCTCAGGTGTGCTCTGGTTGGAGGCTGTTGCCGTGAAGAAGCTGGAGGCTGGCTAACTAGAAGCGAGGCATCTTAAGTGATTCACTTGGGGAACATATTTGGCTTCCTCTGGTTGGTCTTGAGTTGGAAGCTGCTGTCATGGACCAGGTCCCGACTGTGCCTGGCTGATTGCTGCAGGGGTGGTGGGGGAGCTTCCTGGACGGGCCGCTGCAGAGGTGTGGGTCAGAGCTCTACTGTCATCTATGGTCTGGCCACTGTCTGATATTCGGTCTCTCCATTTCTAAACTTTTTAATATTGTCCTTTATGGCTTGTGCTCTTTGTGTTGTTCTTAAGAACTCCTCTCCTGCATTGAGGTCATGAAGATATTATCCTATATTTCCTTCTAAAAGCTTTATAAATTTGCTTTTCTCATTCGGGTCTTTGAACCTTGTTTTAATAGATGTGGGGTTGATTTTGATGATTAGTATAAGCGAGGAACCCAATTTTATATATATTTTGTCTCGTAGATACGTAGTTTTCTCAGCATGATTTATTGAAAAGTCAGTTGTTTCCTCACAGCTCTGCGGAGACACCTCTGCTCACATCTAAGGATTCCTGTGTGCTTGCATCTGTTTCAAAATTCTCCTTTTTTAGTCCATTTGTCTATCCCTGTGCCAATGGCACATTGTCTTAATTCTATAGCTTTGTAGTAAGTTTTATTATTTGGGAAAAGCAAGTCTTTCTATTTTTTCTTCTTCTTTGGAAGTGACTTGGCTTTGAACTTCCATATAAATGTTATTATCAGTTTGTCCATTTCTACCCAAAAAAAACCCATTAGAATTTTGATAGAAATTGCTTTGAATTCTCTGAATCAGGTTGGTGGAAATAGACATCTTTACAACATTGAGTATTCCAAACCATAAGCGTGTGCTTAGATCTTCTTTAATGCCTCCCGAAGTTTTATAGTTTTCTCTGTTGAGGTCTTGCACGTATTTTGTTAAATTTATTCTTAGATATATGATATTTTTGTGTATGATACAATGATTTTTAAAATTTTATTTTGAAAATGTTTGTTATTGGTATATAGAAATAAAATTGATTTTATATATTGATTTTGAACCCAATTAACTCAAATTTTAATAAGTTATTTGTGTATTCTTTTGAATTTTCTATATATACAATCCTGCCAATAATGACAGTTTTGTTGCTCTCTTCAATCTCTATACCATTTCTTTCTTTTGCCTTATTGTACTGGCCGCTGCCTCCACTACAATTTTTCATAGAAGTGATGGTTGGAGGCATTCTTATCTTATTCCCAAGGTCAAAAGGAAAGTGTTTAATGTTTCATCAATAAGTATGGTGTTTGCTACAAACTTTTCTGTAGATACTCTTTATGAGACTAAGAAAGTTCTATTTTATTCCTAATTTGCTAAGAGTTTTTTTTTAGTCATGAGTGGATGATGAATTTTATCTAATACTTTTTCTGTACTTACTGAGATGATCGTATGATTTATTACTTTAATCTGCTATTGTGATAAATTAAATTAACTGGCTTTTTATTATGTTGTTCATTTTTTCAGTCATAGCTTATTAGATTTACCAAAGACATTGCATTTACTTGTCCTGCCTCTTCAATCTTTTTTAATCTAGAACAGTTCTTTAGCCTTTTTCTTTCTTTTGTGTCACTGAAAAATTTAGGTTGGCTTTTGTTGTAGGCACTTCAATTTGGATTTGGCCAAATTGTGTCTTTACTGCTAGAATCAGATTAAACTCTTTGGGCAGAAATACAACAGAGATCCTGTTGTGTCCTTGACGTGTCACATTAGGGGATACACGTGATGTTGGTGAATACCCTATTGGTGATATCAGATTTGATGATTTGGTTAAGGTGGTGCCTGCTGGATTTCACCCTTGTAATGGTACCTTCCCCCACGTGATTTATAAGTTATCTGTAGGGAAAGACTGTGATATCATGTGACAATTCTTATACCCAATGGTTTGAGCATCTGCTGACGATTCTTGCCTGAACTGATTATTACCATGGTGAGCGTAAAATGGTGATTTTAAAATGTCTAGCATTCCTTGTAATGTTATTAGTTGACAACCCTCCATAAAAAGAAGATTCTCCTCTCTTCCCTACTCTTTTTACGTTTTATCTTTTTAATATAAAATGCACTTGGATTCTTTTATTAGTCAGTGTGTTATAATCTAGTCCTGTCATTATTCATTTTCATGCTCAAGTTATTACAGATTTGGCCAGTGAAAAAACCCTTCCAGCTGACTCCTGTGTCCCCACTGATTTTTAAGCACTTTTTAACTTTACAGAACAAGCTATTCTGGGCTAATCTTGTATTTTCCCTGTCTCAGTCATGCAATTAGCTTTTTCTTCAAGGTTCCAATTGGTAGGGGATTTTGTTTAGAAACCAAGATCTGGGTGCTAGGGTGTTCATTGCTGCTGGAGTGTCATTTTGTCTAAGCCCTCTCAGTGGACAGAGTTAAGAAACAAAATTTTCTTTTTTAAAAAATGAATTTATATAAATATCTTTAATTTTTCTTAGAATTGGGCTTTTATCTCCTTCCCCCATTCCAGATTTGGATTGTCCTTCTCCCACAATACACATTAGGGTCACAAAAACATCAATAAATTTACTCATTTGCTGAATCCTATGATACATTCAACATAATATTGGAATTACCACACCACCACCATCACCATCAACAAATGAAGCTCACAATTTCTATGCTGTTCTTTAGTCCTTAGAATATATCCACTCAGGGTGTATAATCAAAATGCTGTGTTTAAAATCACTTGGACTGGGTCTTTTTCTTTTGTTCTCTCTGTGTGGTTATTTGACATATAGCTGAGTTTGTCTCTTTTGGTACTCAGTTATAGAGTTTCTCCCATTCTCGTTAATTTTACTTTATTTTTTGAATATATAAAACACTAACATGGTTCAAGAGTCAAAACTACGTGAAAAGATACAGTCAGAGAAGTCCTTATTCTTAGCCCTGTTGGTAACTAATGTCACTATTTTCATATCCTTTCTCTGTTTCTTTCTGAAAATATATATTCTTATGTTTTCTTCCTTTTTGCACAAAATATAATCTACTATACACTTTTTTTTGCATTTTGATTTTTTTCACTTAACAATATATCCTTAAATTACACTATATCCATTCATAGATGATGGCCTTTGAGAATCATACATACTTACACATATATATGTGTGTTCGTGTGTTTCACATTAAAGAAGTATCCACAAATTTCTATTTTCTGGAATGTTTTTATTTTTATCAGGAATGAATGCTAAAGTTTGTTGAGGTCTTTTCAGCATCCTTGGAAATAATCATATTATTTTTCCCCTTAGATTTATTATTATGTTGAATTATATGAATAGATTTGCTAATGTTGAACCATCCATGCATTCCTGGAATAAAATCAAGTTGGTCATGGTGCATTTTGTTTTTATATACTGCTAGATTTAGTTTACTAATATTTCTTTAGGATTTTTTTTTTATTATGTGCTCATGAATGAGATTAAGCTTTAATTTTCTTTCCTTCCACTGCCCTTGTTGGATTTTGATACCAATGTTATACATTCTCATAAAATGAATTTGGGAGTTTTCCTATTTTGCTGTTTTCTAGAATAGGTTTTTAATAAGGATAGAATTATGTTTTTTCCTTTAATTGGTAGTAGAACTCACTAATAAGG